TAACCTGTAAATTAACATGTTATTTATACTTCAAAGTAATTTCTGCCCGTACATTGATAACATAGTAAAGAATATCTTTTTATTTTTATTTTTGCTCTGTTACCTAGAATGACTAAGGGTTTTGTTAGAACTTTGCATTAAAATTTTCCTGGCAAAAATTTCCATGCCAAGAAAATGTTGACGCAAGTATTATTGGAGCAGATATTTTAAGCAAATTTTGTTTTCTCCAACTGATTGTGTTAAGGGGTCATTAAATCCTTCTTCTAAAACTTCTTATTAGTAGAAAATATAGATATCAATTAAGGGGATGAGGTACATGGTTAATTAAATGTGTATTAAGGCAGATTAAGAAATCCCTCTTCCTGCTTATTATAAACCAAAGCTAGGATTGAGTTTTATATTTAAACTTCCTGTTTTAATCCCCTGGGTGTAGTTGCATGTCCAGAGAAACTGTTACTAGATTTCTTTTTGTGCTGTCACCACCAACAGGCAATAGGAATCTGTACAACAGCAAAGGAAGGGAAAGAATCAAAAGTTAAATGGAAAGGGGTCTTTATATCAGGATTTAGAGGGTTTCTTATGCCTGCGTCTGTGTGACACTGTTGCTGTTTGAGTTATATTATGCTAAAAGCCCATTAAAATTCTTCACTATATTGACTGTTTTTTTTCTTTTTCTTTTTTCACTGATTGAATTGAATCGAATTGACCCATCTTGTCAGTGCTTTAGAAGCACCACCTAAAAGGTTTATGTTTTCATGTTAGTTCTGGTTAGGTCACTTTAAACTACTCCCAGGGACTGAATTTGTCTCCCCTGAACCTCCACATGTTTCTTTCTTCTCAGCATGTGGCTGAGTGTGAGTTTCAGAGAGAACTTCACGTAGTGGGGTAAGCAGTGGCAGGGGTGGAGGTGGGGGGCAAAAGAGGAACAAGAAGCAAGAAACTGTCACTGAGGTCGTGGTGCTGGTATTTTTCTCTTTGCATCCCCCTCTTGAATTTTTTCACAGGGCCAAGTTGTTTGCAAGGGCTTACTTTTTTTTTTTTTTTTAGACTTTCCAAGTTTGTCCTTCCAAATCTGTCTTCCTTCTGTTCTTTGTGTTGATCTCCAATCCTAGACCAAGCCTGCAGGGAGAGCTAGAACTTCCAGCACTGTGCTGAATTAAGAGTGCTGAGAGCATACATCCTTGCCTTGTTCCTGATCCCCTCAGGGGAAAGCACTCAGGATTCAGTCTTTCACTGTTATGTAAGATACTAGCTGTTTGGGTTTTGTAGATACACTTTATCAGTTAAAGAAGTTCCTCTTTAATCTTATTTTTTTCCTGGGAGTTTTTTTTTTCTTTCCTTGAATGGGTGTTGAATTTTGTCAAGTACTTTTTCTGCATCAGTTGATATTATCATGTGATTTTTCTATTTAGACTGTTAAGATTGTGGGTTACATTGAGTTTTGAATACTTAACCAAACATGCATCCCTGGGATGAATCCCATGGTATACAATTCTTTAAAAATATTGCTGAATTCTATTTGTTATATTTTGTTAAGGGTTTTTATTTTTCATTTTTTGCATATATATTCATGAGGGTTATTGGTCTGCAGTTTTCTTTTTTTGTACTTTTTTATGGTTTTGGTGTTAGTGTAATAAGGATCTTATAAAGTGAATTGGGAAGTGGTCTCTCCTCTTTTGTTTTCTATAGATTATATAAAATTGGTATTGATTTTTCCTTAAACATTTGATAGAATTCTCCAGTGAAACCATATGGGCTTGGAGATTTATTTTTCCAGAGTTTTATATTGACAAATTGAATTTTATTAATAGTTATAAGGCTTTTAAAATTTATTTATTAATTTTTAAAATTTGAATTGACACATTGTAATTATATAACTTATGGGGCACAATCTGATGTTTTGATACATTATAAGGCTTTTAAAATGATCTATTTCATATTGGGTGAGTTGTGGCAGTTTTCGTATTCTGAGGTTTGTTTTATTTTATTATTTTATTTTATTTTATTTTATTTTATTTATTTTAATTTAATTTAATTTTATTTTATTTATGAGTTTGGTTTTCAAGATGACTAGAATTCATTTTTTTCCTGAGGTTTGTTTTATATCTGATTGTCTAATTGATATGTATAAAGTCCCTTATTATCCTTTTAATATCTCCTGGGTCTGAAGTGATATCCCCTGTTTTATTCCTGATATTGGTAATTTGTGTCTTCTATCTCTTTTGTCTTGGTCTTGCTAGAGGTTTTACAATTTTATTGATCTTTTCGAAGCACCAGCTCTTTCTTTTTTTTTAATTGGTTATGAATATTCATGGAGTACAAAGCTGATTGTCACCACTCATGCGCAAGATGTGATGGCCAGATCCATACTGGCAGCATGCCTATTACCACAAATTGTGATTATACCTGTGTCCCCCACCCAATTATCTCTGACCTCCCTTCCTATCTGCCTTTCCCCCACTCCACTTTATATCCCTAGGTGTGCTCTCCGCCTCTGCAACGCACCGCTGTGGTCTTTCTTTCCTTCCTTCTTTCTCTCTTAGCACCAGCTCTTTCTGCATCATGTTGGGGTATACAAGAATCTCCAAGGCAGCCACTTCTTTCAATTTGTGTTTGTCCTCTGTGCTACTTTACATAGTTCACATTTTGTTTCAATTGCAATTACCCATTCCTGTGCCCTTTCCTTTCCTCTTCTACGTCTTGGCAGGCATTGCATTACTGTTTACCCTTCTTTTCGGCCTTGCTTTCTAAAGGTGACCATATCTTCATGGTATCTCTAGAAAGTTTCATTTTTATCAAGACTGGTTTACATCATAATTACACAAAACAACTGTGAATTCTAATGAGAACCATTACAGCTACACTGTAGAAAACTTGCCTAATAAAAAAGTAAAAGAGGGCCGGCCCGGTGGCGCACTGGAGAGTGCGCCGCTTGGGAGCACGGCGGCCCTCCCGCCGAGGGTTCGGATCCCATGTGGAGACCGGTTCCTGCTCACTGGCTGAGCGCTTTGCGGGCGCAACACCGAGGGTTGCAATCCCGTTGCCGGTCAGTAAAAAAGACAAAAAAGGAAAAACAAAAAAAGTAAAAGAACTTCGTAACTGTCAATTTTGAAAATGTCTAAGAACACCAGGCTTGGTGATAAGATACTCAGGTTCGGGTCCTGGCTCTGCCACTTAAAATCTCAGGTTAGGCAGGGTGACTCTGTTGTGTCAGGCTTGCCCCGTAAAGCCTTATGAAGCCTCCAGTGGATCCAGGTGGATCTTGAAGTAGCATAAAGCTTCCAGGAACTGGCCATACCCTATTTGTGATCCCTGGGGAGTGACAGAGTTGGCCTTCATTGCTGCCTTTTTGTCTCATTTCTACTGCCCAGCCCTGCCTACCTGGACAATTCACTGTCACAGGAACAGAACTACCTTTAGCATTGCCATTTCTAAAGTTGTGCTTCTGAAATGCTCTCTGCCTAGAAATCCCCTTGCTATCTTCTCTGCCTGTCTGAATTCTAGCCACCCTTCAGGGCCAGATCAAGTACCCCCTGCCCAGCAAGGTCTTCTCTGGCCACCCAGATCAAACTGATGACTCCTCTGAACTCCAGCAAGAACCTCTGCCCAAGTGCTTGCCCAATACCTTCAGTAGCTTTATCTCTGGGCATCATATTGGTTAGGAGCACAGGCTCTTGTCAAGACACACCTGGGCTTCAGTCTTGGCTCTTCCATTTCCTAGCTGCATGCCTTAGGCAACTGACATCACCTCCCTGAACCTCAGTGGTCTCTGTAAAATGAGGAGATCATCTCTGCCTGTCACGGTTCCTGTAAAGATCAAATAAAATGTCTTAAAAGCTACTAAGTGCCAAATAAATATTAGATATATATTTAATACAATAATAATTTAAAATCAAGGTTAAATGGAAAGATATTCATAAAATAATGTTGTAATAGGAGTTACAAAACTGTGGGTAAAGTAAGAAAGGTCAAAGTGTGTGTGTGTGTGTGTGTGTGTTTACAAACACAAACATAAAAAGAATGGGAAGGCACACTTCAAAATGGTACTCAGGATGATGGTCAGCTCTGGGTTATGGGATAATGATTGGTTTTTATTTTCTTATCTATATTTTGAATTTTTGTGGGTAGAACTGTAATAAATTTATAACTTGAAAATATTTTTTCTTGGTGGCTGGTAACAGGGATCAAGCCCTGGACATTGGTGTTGTCAACACCATGTGCTAACCAACTGAGCTAACCATCCAGCACTTACAAATGATATTTTAAAAAGAAAAATCATGATCCGATGATATACTATTATTTGGTTATTTATACTCTACCATATTTCAGAAAGGGTTTAAAGCAGCATACAATATGGCAAGATAAGCTTGAAATATAAAACAAAATGATGCTAAGGAGAAAATGTGAATAGGAAAGATGCTATGTAGCAACACTGATAGACATTTATCCTGACGGTCTCATATTTTTATCAAGTGTTTTTTAAAGAAGGAGTATCCTAGGATGTTCCTTAGTCATAATTTTAATAGGTAAGCTTACCTTGTAAAAGAAAGGCAGTAGTATACAATACAATGTAATAATATTAAATGATACATAAAAGAGAGAAGAATTTTCTGCTAGTTTTCAGTGAATTGAAGATTCTGATTATTTTGTTGTTGGCACAGTAGACATTCCCAAGAAAGGCACGATTGCTATTATTTATATTATATTATACTTGTATAGTAAGTTGCAAGTTACAAATATACTTTTGGTTAGTGCTGGTTTTGCTCATCTGTTTTGCCTTAACTCCTTGGCTTATTCCTTCTTTGGAAATTGAGGAGTCTGGACAAGAAGATCTAACTTTGACCATCTGTAGTTTAGTAAAGTTGTAGTTTCACTTGTTTAGGAACATTTCCATTGATCCTTCCACTTGGAATTTTTATTGTATGTTAGTTGACCTGTGTTATAAAATGTCCATCATAGACTTGTATGATAGTAACATAATTTAAATGTCTTTTTCACAGAGAGACCTCTCTCCCCCAAGGCTGTCAAAGGATTTGAAAGTGCTCCACTTACCAAGAATTATTATACTGTGGTGAGTGTTTAAATGATGAACAAAAATTTTTATGGAATCTTTTCACATGTCAAACCACTGATGTGTTGAGGTGACACAAAAGGAAAGACTGAATAAAGTTGCACTGTGAGGATCCAATGCCATTTGCTTTACAATGGAGCTTTTGCACTTGTAGGCTTCTTATAGTCATCTAAAAGTTTTACATCCACTGTACTGAAAAGTTAAGGGTAGCACAAAGATTCAGAGCAAGGCCTATTAAACAGCAGTGAAAGAGAAACTGGTTAATATGTAGGCATTGTTGAAATCCTGCAGTTAGACATAGCCTTACCAGATACGAGTGTTTAGAAGGTGAATTCCCAAGTTCCTGTAATGTGGTAAGTTTTAAGTGATTGCATTCTGTGATTTTACTTTAGAATCAATTAATCCATTATTATATCCTGTTATAATTAATCCAATATTATATTCTCAATATTATCAACCTTGTCCTTGAGGAGAGCCCAAAAGGAAGACTGCCCTTTGGCACAAAGGGAGGAATGAAATGGCTCTGACTTGAACACAGATATGTCAAAATGTATTAGCTATAAATAGGACATGTGCAATACTCAAAATAAGTTCCTGTTTGAAAAAGAAATTGCATAATTCTCTTTAATCTACTCTCTGCTTTCCTTCATGTCTCCTTTCCAGACTTGGCCCGTCACTAATGAAAAGGTCAGGTCATCATTACCTCTAAGTTTCCCTGTCTGGTAGCCTTGTCATCTCCCCCCACCTGCGCTGAATACAGCTTCAGTTTTAACCCAGTGTCCTATGTGTGTTTGTACTCCATGCTCATTTCATTTTGCGCATGGATAAAGAGTTTTTAAGTATCTTTATACAGGAATATGAATGTCATTTGGTTACAAAAAATTAAATTTCACTCTTCAATGAATTTGCTCCATAATGTTGACATGAGCATAGGTGATATGAAAAATCAAGGAGGAACCTCATAGGTAATATGAACAATAATCATAGAGGACCATTTTGTCAATATTTTTCCTCTCACATTCCTGAGGTTAAAATATTACTTGGCAGAACTAAGCTCCCTTTTCCCTTCTTTCCTGACCAATTATTTTAGCTTCCAGGTGACTCCTAATGATTTAATTTTTGAAGAAAGTTTTCAGTTGAATGATGGATGAACTTGTTACCATAGCTTCTACCATTGCACCTCTGCTGATTCTACCAATTAAAATGTTGTTAGGATTATCCAAGGCAGAATAACCTGTGTGATTTGGGGGCTTTATATAAATCCTATACATATTATATACAAACTCTGACTGTACTGCAGTTTGTATAATCCACCTCTTATTGGAAGACATGTGCATTGTTTTTCCTGGTTCCTTGCTATTTTTAAACAATTCTGCAGTAAACCTTTTATACTTGTACATGTGACTTTGTCAAAGTATGTAAAAGTCTGTAGGGTGGATTCTTAGAAGTTGAATTTTTGGGCCTAAAGATATATATGTTTTTTTAAAAAATTGGTAGATATTTTCTCAACCCTTACACTTAATAAAGAAAAGAGAAGGTCTTGGGGAGCTCGTGATGGCTCATGAAGGATCTGTAGAACTTCTGTGTGAATATTGCTGAATTAGTGAGTAGAGACCAGTTGGGAATGTTGTTGTAACTAGTCATGGATGTAAAGAGATTTTGGCTTGTTGTTGTTTTTTAATCCACATTTCTTTGGCTTTAAATATTTAGGCAAATTTTTAACATCAATTGATTCAAAATATGTTCTGAGTGTTCGGATTGTCCTTCTAATCTGTGTTAAATACCTGATACAAATAAAAAAAATTTCTATCCTACCCACAGGATTTGTAGACCTGGAAAATCAAGTTCACCCACATGAAGGTGTCTCCATCTGATTTGATATTAACTCTTCTTCCCAATTAAGAGTCATTAATTGTAGACATTTCCTGTTGCTAGAACTATAAGAATACTAGTGACTGATTTTTACTCCACTTAAAAAAAGAACATTTTAATGATTATATAACTAATTATGTAAAGAATTGTTTTTAAACAATCAGACAATATAGAAAAAAATATAAATATGAAAATAAATATCGCTTGTAATTCTACTACTTAAAAATAAGCACTATTAACATGTTGGCGAATATTGGCCAAACTTTGTTTGAGGTAGGCATGCAAGCATGCTTCGAAAGTTTGTGGGAAAATAGAATTAAAAGATAATACAATCTTTCCATGAACTTCTTGAACTACCATCATATATGTGTGTATATACCTGTTGATACATATGTGTGTCTATGGGGATGTGTGTGTATATTTTTTAAAAAATTAAAACAGGAACTGTATATTCTTCATTATTTCTCCTTTGTGGAAATTTTTCTATCCCCAAACCCCAACAATACTTGTCTCTGACCAGGTCTGTTCTTATGCTACCCAGGAAAGCCAGGGGTGTAATTCAGTTCAAATCTGAAGGCCTGAGAACCAGAGAGCCACTGGTGTATGTTTCATTCTGAGGGCAGGAGAAGACTGATGTTCCAGCTCAAGTAATCACGCAGAGAGAACAAATTCTTCTTCCCTCTACCTTTTTGTTTCATTCAGGCCCTTAACGGATTACATGAAACCCACCCCCATTAGGGAGGCAATCTGTTTTATTCAGTTTACCAATAAAAATGCTATTCTCATTTGGAAATATCCCCACAGACACACCCAGAAGTAATGTTTAGCTAAATATCTGGGTACACTGTGATCCATTCAAGTTGACCCATAAAATTAACCATCACATCATGTAAACTTGGGCAGAATAGAGACCTCCTGGAATTTGCAAGCCTGCAGACATTCTCTCCCCTTTTTCGAGTTTCCAAGGGATTGTCTGCCGATTTCAGCCCCATTTAGGCCTTAATGCAATACTAGTGTCATGTCAATTGTGAAATGTTAAGTTCTCTAGTGTGACCAAAGTGCCTTGGGCATCCAGCTTAGACTCACACCTGCCACAAGGCATATATAATGTGCGTAACTGAGGCTTGGCCACTCCTGGTCTATTGTTTTGAATGAGAGCTTAGTATCCTTTAGGGACATGGCAGCCCAGAGGAACCTTTCATTGCCCCTGACCTTGGTTCCTTCATTGCCCTTGCCTTTGCTGCCATGCGTTAAACTTCTCTCACCATTGAAGAAAACCATTTCATTTTCCTATTATTTTTCTAATAATTTTTTTCTGCTCATTGGCTTTCTCTGTCCACTGTTACTTGATGTTTAATCCTGGCAGAGGATTAAACAGTAAGGAACAGAAAAAGGAATCTATGCAGCTTAGTTGTCAGGCCTAATTTGTGTGCAGCACTTAGGTCTTGGCACCGATGGTCTCATTGGGAAGGCAGGACAGACATGATAGTGTAAGCCACATGGCACAGAATGATGTAAAGTTGTAAAGTGTTGTAAGATGGGTGTCTCAAAATGTGGTTGAGGGATCCTTTGCATCAGAAGCACCTGGGGAGCTTTTTAGAATTACAGACATCTGGGCCCCATACCTGACTTGCTACATCAGAATTTCTGGTCATAGATCCCAGGAAACGGCATTTTAAATAACTCCCCCCACCCCTTCCACAACCTCTTCCCCTCAACACACAGGTGGTTCGGATGCTCACTTCAACTAAAATTTGAGAACCAATAAAGGCAAAGGTTGAATGGAGGAGGTAGGATTGAAGTCATGTCCTGGAGGAAGGTCAGAACTTAGATAAACAGAGAAGAGATGAAAGGGAATTTAGGCAGGGGGAGCTGTATGAGCAAATTTCCCCAGGTAAAACTGTGGGTGCCTGTAATTAGTCTATCTTCCATCAAAATGTCCCTTGGAAATGAATTCAGTATAGTGGCAGGATACAAAATCAACACACAAAAATCAATATCCTTCCTATATGCCAGTAACAACATAGCTGAAGAAGAAATCAAGAAGGAAATCTCATTCACTATAGCTACTAAAAAGTGACATACCTAGCAGTAAATTTAACCAAGGAGATGAAAGATTTCTACAATGAAAACTATAAAACATTGCTGAAAAAATTTAAAGAGGACATAATAAATGGAAAGATATCTCATATTCATGGATTAGAAGAATGAACATCATGAAAATGTCCAAAGCAATCCACACATTCAATGCAATCCCTATCAAAATACTAATGATGTTCTTCACAGAAAAAGAAAAAATGATCTTAAAATTTGTATGGAACTACAAAAGACCCCATATAGCTAAAGCAATCTTGAACAAAAAGAATAAAGTTGGAGGCATCACACTTCCTCACTTCAAAATGTACTTAAAAGCTGTAGTAACCAAAATAGCATGGTACTGGCATAAAAACAGACAAATTGACCAGTGGAATAGAATAGAGAGTCCCACAATAAACCCATGCACTTACAGCCAACTAATTGTTGACAAAGGTGTCAAAATATGCAGTGGGGACAGGACAGCCTCTTTAACAAATAGTGCTGGGAAGACTAGGTATCCACAAGCAGAAGATTGAAACTAGACCCCTATCTCTCACCATACATGACAGCCTAATCAAAACAGATTAAAGACCTAAATTTAAGACTTGAAACTATGGAACTACTAGAAGAAAACACAGAGAAAATGCTACACAAAATGGGAGTGGGCAGTGCTTTTTCGAGGGAGACTACAAAGGCACAGACAGCTAAAGCAAAATTAAACAAATGGGACCACATCAAACTAAAAAGCTTCTGTACAGAACAGGGCACTATCAACAAAGCAAATAAACAATCTACAGAATGGGAGAAAGTGTTTGCAAACTACACACCAGGCAAGGGGTAATATCCAGAATATATAAGGAACTCAAACAATTCAACAGCAGAAAACCCCAAATAACCTAATTAAAAAATGGGCAAATGACCTGGACAAACATTTCTCAGAAAACATATAAATGGCCAACGAGCACATGAAAACATGCTCAAAATCACTAATCATCAGGGAAATACAAATTAAAACCACAATCTTCTTACCCCTGTTAGAATGGCTGTTACCA